CAAGCTAGATCATGCGCAGATCAGATTGCTACATTGCGTATCATCGTAGAGCAATCAATTGAATGGAACTCGTCCTTGTACATCAATTTCGTGGATTACCAAAAGGCCTTTGATAGTCTGGATCGCCCCTTTCTTTGGAAATTACTAGCTCATTATGGAATTCCGCAGAAGTTTATCAACATCATAAGAAACTCTTACGAAGGTACCACCTGTAAAGTCATTCATGAAGGCCAGCTGTCGGAGAGCTTCGAAGTTAAAACCGGAGTAAGGCAGGGCTGCCTTCTTTCACCGTTCTTATTCCTCCTGGCAATTGATTGGATAATGAAGTCATCGACAGCGGGCCACAGGAACGGAATACAATGGACGCTCACCCAGCAGCTTGATGACCTGGATTATGCCGACGACATTGCTTTACTATCTCACTCAGGAGCCCAAATGCAGAACAAAACCAGCATTCTGGAAGAAAGGTCAAGAAAAACTGGCCTTGTTATCAACACCGCAAAGACCAAAGTCATGAAGATTAACTCAGGTTCAAGGAGGAAGATCAGAGTGAATGACGCCGATATCGAAGAGGTGGAATCGTTTACATACCTTGGGAGCGTAGTAGACACATGTGGGGGAACTGACGCAGACGTTGCAAACAGGATTAATAAAGCAAGAGGAGCCTTCCACTCCCTTAAGAAGATCTGGAGCTCTGGCAGCATATCTACATCAACTAAGCTGAAAATCTTCAACTCTAATGTAAAAGCTGTGCTTTTATACGGGGCAGAGACGTGGAGGATGACAGTCAAAACGGCAAGAAAGTTACAATCATATGTCAATCATTGTTTGCGTCGAATCCTGAAGATACATTGGACAGACAAGATCACAAACGAGGAGCTCTGGGAGTGGACAGGTCAAATACCGATGGTCAAGCAAGTGAGGAAGAGAAAATGGATGTGGGTAGGCCACACGCTGAGAAGACCTTCAAACAGCATTACGAGGCAAGCCCTGCGTTGGAATCCACAGGGAAAACGAAAGAGGGGCCGCCCCAAGAATACCTGGAGGAGGGATACGGAAAAAGAGATGAAGGTCCTCGGGAAGAACTGGAAGGAGCTGCAACAGCTGGCAGAAAAGAGGCGTCAGTGGCGGCAGTTTGTCGATGGCCCATGCTCCAACCTGGAGCCAGGGGCTTAACTAACTAACTGCATTGCGTGCCAGACTTTTAAAGATATCTGAATCAAATTGATCCAAAATTCGATTTTTTGGTCATTTCATGTGAGTCAAATTTCATGATTTAAAGGGATTTTACTTAGATATTAGATATTATGCATCAGCTTTATTCAAACAAAGACAAGGAAAGAAAGAAGCCGGAAGTTTCGAAGTTGTTATTCTTGTAACAACATCCGGTGGAACGACGAACTCTGGGTAACAACGCAGGCGCTCTCTCGCAAAATAGAGAGGAGGCAGAACCGTATTTGTGAGGCTTTGTTTTTGTGCGGAAAGTTAGGCGACTACTTATTTCCGTCAACTTTTCTTCGAACTTCCTTGGAATCAAAATGGAGCAGTATCCAAGTTCTTGATCAGCCGCCTCAGTCCTTACGATCTTGATCATGTCTTCGTCAAAGATCCTAGACGGACTGCAATCTTTTCTTCGTCACGCGGAAAGTTTACATCCTTCGAACAATGCACGGGGAGAGAATGGTTTTGCTCGGGAATTCCAGGTATAATATTCCTTTTTTTCCTTAGGTCAAGGAATATTTAACAACACGATCACTCTTGCCCGTAACTTCGAAACCAAATTTTTCTTGTCTTTTTAAAGCGATCGATTGCTGAAACTTCGTGAAACCGAAATATTTGACCACTTGCTGACTTAATTTCCGTGATATTTCAATATTCTGTACATTACTACCTTGAAATCAATTTAATTTGCTCTAAAGTTTCACAAAGATTCACGAGTTATTTGATGATCGGTGTGTTATCGATAAAAATAACGAAAGCTTATCTTAAAAGTCAAACACTCAAATTGATTACCGGAAGTTGCTAGAGAGTAAATTGACGAACGCGTTTACAGAAAACAAAATAATACCATTATCTGCTTTTCCTGGCGATCGATCACTAATACTGGCGTAAAATGTTAAAACAGCAACCTTGTTATCAAGCTAAAAAGTAGGAAATGCACTTCTGTAAAGGTCTTGATTCACAACAGAACTAAAGAAAGTAAAATTATATTAATTATGCAAGTGCGGTCCAAACCATGTGGAAAGTTCCATGGTGCGATCACAGTCACGGTGCTGCGATCACTCGGAATTTATGTATATATAT